GCTTCACACTGTTATGATTCTAACATCTGTTTTGAATGGCACCATCAGAGGTGGCTGCGGATGCCGGCCAATTTGAAAAGCTGGTACAAAGCCTTTGATGGCGCGAATGCCCCTGGAACGCGGGAGGCAGAGCCAATCACCGGATGGCCATCTTTCTAGATCTTCTGGGGCAGAGAACAGTGAGCATGGTCACAGCTGTTTGAATGTGGGGGTGTCTCTGTTATCAGGCCTTCTTAGCGCCGGGACAGAAGAGGCCGAGACTGAGTTCCTATCTGAATGACCCAGCCCTGGAGTAGACGCTGTGGGTTAACCTGGGGCACAGGCTCCTGCATCCGTCTCCAGTACCTCCTCCTCCTCCTCCTCCTCACCCCAGTCAAATCGGAGTGGTTCTGATTGGTCAGGATTCCTGGCATCGAGGAAATCAGGATACACGGTTTGTATTATGTACATACCTACTTAATTGTCTTTCTACAGGACCCAAGTCAATGCATTTTGCTCAGAGCTCAGGATCTTTGTCATTTGTTTGTATAGTCACGGCCTTTCTTCACCCTCCGTCATCTCAATTACGCTGTCAACGGGCTTTCGGGAAGAGAGGAAGGCAGGCAATGAAGGGAGAAGCGCACGGGAATGAGTGGATTTCAGTATCTGCCTGTTGTGTCCGTCTCCTGAGACCGGACAATACAGCCTTCCTAGTTCCTGCACAGCCCACAGCGCCTTGCAGGACCAGAACAAGCTCCAGCTTAACAATCACCCAGGGAAGGGACCTGCTGGCCATTCAGCCCACGTCATTGAGCAAGCAGATCATCTTCCACATGCAGGACAGTGGGAACAAACAAGCAAAAACAACCTTCCATTTCCAGGTGAAAGGGTGGGTGAGACAGAGAGTACACAGAGAAGGCCATCGCTCCCCGGTACTGAGGCACATCGGGAAATGAAGCAGGGCACCCGGAGGGTGGGAGTGGGAGTGGGAGGGCAGGCAGAGTGGTCAGGTAGGTTCTCTAGATGGCAATCTCCAAGGTCAAGAGAGACCATTAAGAATGCAAATCATGGAAACTGGGAAAAGTGCATCCCACCGAGGACACGGCAGCCACCCAGCGCTGCGGAACACGGCCAAGTTTTCCGAGCAACATAAAGGCAGAAGCTGAGGAGTGGGGTGGGGGTGAGGTGGGAGGGTCCTTGGACATGTGTCCAGAGAGGTGGCTGGGGCAGCAAGTATAAGGTTTTGAGGGCTGTGTGAGGATTTGGGATTTATTCCAAGCGACGAGGCAAGTCGTCGGAGGAGTTAAAGTAGATCAAACTTCTGCTTTCAACAATCCTTCTGGTGGCTGGCTGAGGAACTGGCAGTGGGGGCACGTAAGCCCGGTCACGAGTCTTCTATTTCAACAGCCCTGTCACTGATGGTGGTGGCGGGGGCCAGGTGGCATGCACCAGTGAATGATGTAGGGAACATGACTGACATTGAACGTGTTCTGAACGGACGCACCGGGCTTTGCAGAAGGGTGGAATGAGGATCAGGAAGACAAGAGCAGTGAGGGCTGATGCTGATGCTCAGGAGGCGGGATTTTCTCTTCCTCTGAACCCTGGTGGTGCTGCCAGGTATGCACTGAACTAACTTCAAGGTTGGCAGTTCAAACTCATCCGCCCACCCCCAGGGAGAAAGATGAGGCCGTCTGCTCCAGTAAAGACGCTAGCTCTCTGCCAGGCAGCAGGAGCATCAGCTCAGCACCAGCTGCCCACAGGCTCCCCACTTCCTGACTGGCAGGGAAGGGAAGGAAGTTCTTTCGGAAGCCCCCCTGTTGTTCTGGCTTACAGAGAAACCACAGCTGAATCAGATTTCTTGGTACAAAGGAAACTCCTCCCCCCAAAGCATGGCCCAGCAGGAGGGTGTGCGCACCCGCAGGAATGTGGACCATGTAGCCAGAATGTTCCTCCTTCACAAAAGCCACTCACTTCCCGGCCGGCCGGCAGTGGGATCTGAGAACCACGTGAGTGTGGAGTGGGGACGCTGAAGTGACGACAGGGAAATCCTCACAGGCTGAAGAGTAGAGAAGGCTATCCCCGAGCATAGCCGATGGCTCCTGCAGCTCTGAGCACAGTCCCTAAATCCA